CTGTTACGGAGAAAATTTGATTACTATTAGGAGGATAACAACAAAAGTCTTAAAGAAGATATTACAAAATTGAAGTAAATACATTTTAGCTGCACCACTGAATCTATTTTATCGCAATCTATTCAACGTTGGTGTAGGCAGGATATTCCTGGTGCAGTGGCTGCCACTGGTACCAAATTGCTTGTCACTAGACCTTTCAATACATTATGGATGGATATTTGCCGAACATGTGACGCATATCAGCTCTATATAATACCATACAATTCAACATGATTTCTTCACCACTCGAATTCATCCATACACAGTTTTTGAATTTCTGTATATGCAAAAACATTTTTTTGTTTATTATACATAAATAATTTGAAAACAGTTGTTATGATCAAAGAGTTAGATAATCATTAAATTAAGGTTACAATAAGTTTCTTAAAATAATAATAAGAATGGTGTGTCAAAAATGGAATGTAGCAATTTTGTCTAAATAATAGTTTCAGGAAACCTCTAGTAGGTTTAAATTTATTTTGTGATGTAACTAAATATCCTGAAATCGGCAGTGACTAGAACCATAATAATATTGTTTTTTATGTTTGACTTTAGGAGTATACTTTTAGTAAAGTTACTATTTAACTAAGATGGCAGCTAAATCACTTTAGTTTGTTCTCCAATCATAATACTTTATTATATTTAATAATCTTTTCAAATCTTTGATACCTTTTCTAACCATAAATAAAATATATTATAACTCAAATCAAATTTTAAAAGCAATAAACAAGCGTTTTATTTACACTACTTGGTTAATATTAGGTAAAAAACTATCCAAACAAAACTTATATATACCATTTCAAATACATGGCATACTCTTTATGCTACAAACCAACTAAAACTAAAGAAATGATTGGCCACGCCTAAAGAGATAACGAACCCGGAACAGATAACGTAACCAATAAAACTGATAATGTTTTAGTTAGTCCATACCGACACGACCTAAAATCATTATTTGTTGTGGTTTTAGTATCCCAATACTACCTGCTTTATACGTATAATTAATTTAGAGATCATTTCCCTTCTGTTTCTCTACACAACATAATGTCGCTGACGAGAAAAGCTCCTGTTTCTGAGGAAGTCATCAGAATTATGAGCAGAGGCAACCATGAGCCGGAAGAAGTCGTGTCTGATGATCCCGTTGAACCGGTTTCAGAAGCAGAGTCTTCAGAAACAGAAGAAGAAGAAATCTTAACAAGGTGGAAAGCCATAAAATCTTCAAACCCAGTTTACACAATGATTCCTCCTCATTGCAGTGCGTTTTTGCCTCCCAGAATTGATCCCGCGACCCCCAAAAGAGACCCAATACCTACTAGAGACTTGGATCCGGACGAATGTTTTGGTAAGTTGTATAAGTTAAGTATTTTATACAACTGATTTAGCATGATGATAGTTACCAATTTAAGTGTAAACCAGTTGATATACCCGTGCCTCGCAAAGACAGGAGTAGTCGAAAGAGAATAATGCTTTGTTAGACCTGCTGCATCAAATAATTGTTACACATACAGGGTGACAAAAAAGTCTGGAAACGGTTTTATATCTTTTTAACTAAATCCGTTAGAAAATTCAAACCTTTCACATCAACTTACATGTATGAAAATTCTAAATTTTTTGGAAATTTCTATTTCCAAGAATTTTCATTTGTTTATCTCTACCAGGGGACGACCCACGAGAAGTAGGTACAACATCTTTAATGTAAGCATAGGTTGATATGCACTTCATTTTAAAAGTCTGGTCATGTGGAGTTCATTGCCGGAAACCGTGTCAAAAAAGGTTCATCCGTTACAAAATGGCGGCTGTCCAAAGATCTTGATGAATATACCTGCACAGGCCTTATTATTGGTAAATACTCGTATTAAACATTAGCTTGAGAGCTGAAACAGTATTTTAAAGTCAACTAGCTCATAGACTAATATTATTCAATCTTCAAAACAAATTTAAACGGGTTTCAGATTTCCCGGCTAATGTTGAATATGAGTATTTACTAATACTAAGGCCTCTGCATGTATATTCCGCAAGAACTTTGGACTGCCGTCATTTTGTAACGGATGAACCTTTTTTGACGCGGTTTCCGGCAATGAACTCCACTTAACCAGACCTTTAAAATGACGTGTCTATGCTTACATTAAAGATTATGCATCTACTCCTCATGGGCCGTCCCCTGGTGAAGGTAAAAAAATGGTAATGCTTGAAAAAAGTAGTTTTTATTCATATAAGTTGATGTGAAAGGTCTGAATTTTCTAACGAATTTAGTTAAAAAGATATCAAGCCGTTTCCAGACTTTTTTGTCACCCTGTATATTATTTAATCTAGAAACGAAACACTTACCTTACCACTTAGTGTAGTGAAATTCTTGTGATTAAATTCAGAGAAGGGGTTCAAATTCTCTTGGTAGCTAGACACAGTTAATATGTAGCACAATTGCGTGTTTAAAAAAATACTTCAACTATATGACTTTACTTGAAAAAATTAACTTTTTCAAAACATAAAAGGTGTAGATTTACTTACTTTTAAAATATTACTTACCTATATTACAAATCCAGAGATATATAAGAATCTATAAACATACCGCAGCAGTAAAATCAATTACATCAGGTTGGTAGGTTATTGTGAGTTATTGTTATTGTTACTGAATCATTGTTCCCAAATTCTTCAGTTTCAGTCAAGCTTTTTTTACCTGTGGGTTATTGTATGGATTAAAAATAAAACTTGCAAAACTCTACAAAACGTTTGCTAGATTTCTTCAACTAAACATAACCCTCTTACTAAATGTAAGAGGGTTATCACAATGTACACGTTTTCACAATGTAAATAAAGGACCATTAATACCCCTTGTAATTATATAAACAAACAAGTCTAAATTGAATCGACTAGCTGTTAATAAAATAACATTAATGAAATAAATTTAAATTAATTAATTGAATAACGTAAACTCTAAAGCCATGTAGGCACAGCCCTTTGAAAATCAGTCTATGGTTCGGAACCATGGGGTAAAAAAGGTAATACACTCTGAGTTTCATTTTTTTAGGAGCCATAAGTCTATATTAGTATTCAAATAATACTTATGCCCTCAAGAATTCTTACATAGTCTGCTTTACAGATACTTGTCCAAAAATAATATCCCGAGAAGAATGGGGAGCAGCTGCCCCCTTAAGGCAGCCCCCACAAGTGACTCATCGAGTAAGAACTGCGATGTTTATGAAAACAGAACCTCCCCATTGTTTAGACGAGGATACATGCAAAAAATGTGTCAAGTTTCTTCAAACGTTTCACACAGCGTATAGAGAATGGGATGACATTGCGTACAGGTAAATATGACCTTTTTACAGAATTATTTACATTACAGGTACATACACACCCACACACACATACGCACATTTTTTCATGGTTATAGCCTACGTATGAAAAACATATTTTTTTACAAGCAAATATGCACAATATTTATTGCATTATTTAAATAAATATTTACAACATATGCTGCTTACTTAAAAACTACTACTTTACACAAAAAAAAAACTGATTACTGTTTGTCAGTAAACCGTTTTTGTTACTGGCCACCTTTTAGACGTAGGTAGAGGGCTGGACCAGCTGAGATATAGACCTAGAAAAGTATTTTTCACTTCATATCAGTAGGAGTTGATCCACCTCCATAAACCTTGTGTAGTTTTTAAAACAACACATTTAAGAAACAATGTCCGTTTAAAATTATTTTAAATTTTAAACATTAAAAACTTAATAAAAATTTAATGTAATTTAAAATTGTATACAAATCAATAAAATTACAAATTAAATATATGTTTAGCTTTCTGATCGGAGACGAAGGTCACATTTTAGAGGGAAGAGGCTGGGGATACGAAAGCGCGAAAGGAGAAACGTTTTGTAGCATTGGCTATATCGGGGATTTTCGTGGTATGTAAATCTAACCATAATTTTGGCACTGATTTTTTAAAGCTATACAAAGAGTAATAAAAACACCTTAGATTGCATTTATAATTAAAATATAATAATAACTTGAAATTACTGAGCTAAAATTAGTATGAAAGGGCCAAATGAATCTTTGATAATTAGCCTATAATGATTTTATTAATCAGCACAAATAATATTTATGTTTTGCGATATTGTTAAAAATATATAAGAATGTTTTTAGAATGCAAACGCACTGATAAAAATCAATATCATACTATAATTAGTAATAAAGGATGGAATAAATTTCCAATAAAATAATTTCATATGTTACCTTTTTAGTTTTGTGATATACAAAAATGAATTAAAAAAATTATGATTTTTTAACTGTCATTTTCTTATAGAAAAGCATGCACGTCACTAGCCTATAAAACCTATGTACAATAATTAGTTTAAATGAAATATCTGTTGTATTTTAGGTAAGAAACGCGCTAAGCTAACTCAAATTTAATATAGGCGAATTTCTCTATGTTATTTGTAATTATAATTAAAAAGTTTTTCTTATTTTCCTTATTCCAGCTGACGATCCGTTTGAGGAACCCACTGAAGCAATGCTGAGGTCAACTTACAGTTTAATTATGTGCGGAGTCAAAAAGGGGTTTTTAATTAACCCTTTCGAAGACGGAAAATGCCACGGAAATACTCCAGAAGAAGTGATTAGAGATTTGATCAAAAAGGAGGAGAAAATCACTTATACGATCAAAAACGAAGAAGTGCCACAGGTTTTGCATAATCGATTCCCAAACATGCGCATATATCGAGCTTTAAACTTCTCTTGTCTTATCGGGGTTATCGTTTCAATCGGGGTGGTGATTCATTCGATAATCGACACGTATGAAAAACTATATTAGTGTACGTTTGAAGTGTATTCAGTACGTATTTTATACAGGGAATTATTTTGAAACTCATATATTGAACTATAATATTTTTAAATTTTAATTGTGTATGAAACGTGCCAGCCAAGTTCAGTGCTTTGAAATATAAAGTTAAATATCTTAAAGAAAAATGTCGGATGAAGATGAAGATGGGACGACCATTGAAAAGACAAAAGAGCAAAAAGATCGGGAACTTTTGTACCAATTTCTCCCACCTGATTGCGGGGGAAGTTTAAAGATGAACCCGGACAACGTCAAACCCAACTACAGAGAATCTGAACCAACCAGAATCATCCCTCCCGATGAGTGTTTCAGTATGTTAATGTTTTATATTTTGGGTTCATTTTCCTTTTATATTAGTAAGTGAAAAATGATTTAAAAACATATTGGACATAGGATGTTCAATATCATTACTATTATTACATACTACTAACATATTATTAAATATTAGTATGAGTAATAGGAATAGCGTTAAAAACACTGTGAATTTTTGAACTATAACATTGACAACTTCTATTAACCATCAAGTTATTGATATTAATGAATTTATATGTTTTATGCTATACAGGAGATCCCGGAGTTACCTACCAATATTTTATGGCATTTTTCCTGAGTAAGAAACTTATCTAAATAGCATATTTAAATTGCATGGAAGTCCTTAGTTACTCACACAGCCGATATTTTGTTTTACACTTATTAGTTTGTTTCTAAAAAGTAGTTAGAGCTACGAGATTTAAACTGTACACACACGTTTATGAGAACTAAGCAAGCTAGAAACAAAATATGACAATTTTTCTAATGAATAAAACAAAATGACAGCTATTAAAATGTTGTTTCTCTATTAAAATTTTATAAAACCGTTTGATAAAAAAAAATACTAATAAGCGTCACTTTGTTTTATGCATTTCAAATATTTTCATATTTTTTTGTAGCTTTGTCTAGTTGTCATAAATGTTTTTGTAAAGTTTTAATTTCGTATCTTTAACCACTTAAAAAAAACATGATAAGTTAACAAACAAAATGGTGGTTGTGTGAGTAACTAAGGACTTCCGGACAATTTAAATATGATAATTAGACAGATTCTTACTCAAGAACAATGCCCAAAAATATTGGTAGAGAGTTTCGGGACACCCTGTATAAAAATTGTATGATCATTAGAGTTAGTTTTAAAATTAAAAAAATAACAATGAAAATAAATGTACAAACGAAATCAAATATTTATAAATACATATATTTTAAATTTTGAATTTTAACAGACCAAACATCAATTTCCCCCTTGCAAATATGATAAGTTCATTATAATCTAAAAGTTTGTGTCATTAATGCGTATTTCTCACAAAACATTACTTACACATTTTACATTTTACAAAAAATTGTTATGGCTTAGATAATTACACATATTTAAACCCATATTTAAACACTTATAATGCTACCCTTAGCAATATGGTGGTGCCTCTGAACCTTTAAATAAAATACATATGTTCAAGGGGAATTCTAATATAGCTAAAGGTATATTATCACCCCTATTCTTTAATATCTATGTATACTATCCTTGTTCTAGGACCTTGTCCAAAGATCATCACCAGAGAACAATGGGGGGCCAGACTGCCGACATCTCCTCCAAAACAGACAATGTACCGAGTAAGACCCGCGGTGTTCAAACAATCTGATACTCACAACTGCAGCGACTTGTTCACATGTGTACATAATGTAAAGTTGTTGCAGATGTATCAAATGGACTATCTCCATTATAGTGATATTGCTTACAGGTAAACTTATTTTAATAAATTGGTAAATAAATATACCTACTATAGAGTCTTCGTAGTTCTCTATTTAGGAATACAGGTTTATAAATTGTATTCGAAAAGATTTCGAGTATTTTATCCAACTGGCCAGATAGTCCCATTGGTCAGTTTAGTGAGAACACTAAGGTCTTAAGCCATCCAAACTCAAAAAGTTAAAAATTACTCCTAATTTTTTAAAAATGACTTTACCATAAAAAGTAAGACTACTTAAAATAACCATAATTCAATAGACACTTATTTGAAAGACTCGTGGACCTAACTATCCCGATGGGATCCAAAAGTTGCTCGTTTCCTTTTGAATTTGTTTAGTATGTTGCAATTAGTTGTAGTAGGTTTTAATTCTTGACGCCATTATTTCCTATATGCAAATATAAGCCGATATTGCAATGCTATTTTGACCAAGGCTGACTACCATTGAACGTAGTTAATAGTTAAAAAAATTTCCTTTACCATTTTGGATCAGTTTTGGAAAATACGAGTTTTGAAGTATTTTAGACAATTTAGTATAAAAGAAGTTTTAAGAAATATATTATGAAGATTTTCAGATCTTAAAAGTCCAAATAGCTGACAACATGTTTTGGAAAGACTCTATACAATTTAAAACTACAATGTTTTGTCGTATTGTTAATACCCACTGACTGATATAGTTTTACCTTACTGCAACAATACCCTTTCTAGCTTTTTGATCGGAGAGGATGGAAACGTCTATGAAGGAAGAGGATGGGGTGTATCATGTGAAAAAGCAAATGGCTTTATGGGAATTGGCTTTCTAGGATACTACACAGGTAAATAGAAATTTACGACAAACAAACCATTGCTTTGCCTAGCTAGAAAATATCATTGATATTTGCAGCAAGGTTAACTCCTAGAATGAATGTTGTATTTAATATTGATTGTAGAATACGTGACCTTTAAAAACGAATAGATTTGTTTTTAAGTAAACTTGTAAGGCGCTAATATAATAATGTTAGCATTTTACTGCAAAGATGGATGAAAAAATGGATTTTAAATAGATTACATGACAGGTTTGGAGCTGAATAAGATTATCTTATTATTGTATTGTATATAGCCAGGTTATGTTAAGCCCAATTCCCAAGAGTGAAGGTCATTTGGGTCTAGTTGTAAGCCATCAAAAGCTATAACTATAGTTCGGCCGCTTAGATAGCGACCTCCTCTAGCATTGGTTAGCATTAGCGCGCAGGTGACCGAATCTATCCGAATCTATCAAATCTATGCGACCGAACTATAGTAAAAAGATTTGATAATTTCACGATGAATCCATAAAAAAGGAGCAATTACGACGTATTATAATGTTGTGAAGCTATGAAGAATTATAAAAAATGTGTATCCGTTTTTAAATGTCAACACTAATAAAATTGAATGTTTGTGTTTTCGGTTTTATTTGATCTATTTACGTTACATAACGATAAATTATATTATTTCCATCGATTATATAGAAGCAAAAATTGTGGTTCTTTCTCAATATCCACTTTGTGAGAGCTGTAAATTTACGACTGTTCGAAATGTGCCAGTAAAAAAAATTATATAAATGTCAGTCCGACCATAAAATCATACAAGTTATCTTAGCTTGCCTACAAAGAACCTGAATTCAAAGACAAATATTTGCAAGTTCTTCAGACGGGTTTCTTTTAATATCCTTTTATTTACAACCTGATTCATAACCAAAAATGCTAATAGAAACAGAGCAAACTGTAAAAAATACTACAACATATGACTAACTATTAATTGATAATTGTTCAATATTATTGCGTTTAAAACATCTGATCAGGAGTAATATTATGCTATCAATTACCTTCCTACTTAATACACTTACACTGGCTGATTGGTAGGTTTATTTATTCTAAAGCTATGTAATTGGTTATGGAAATAAAGAAGATTCTACAACCGTTGCTGTAACAACCCAGGCTATTTTTTCGATTGATTAAATTGTCTAAGTTATGAAAGTAATGTTATTGATGTATGTAAACAGTAGGCCAGTTACAATGTAGGTGTACTATTTGACTAAGAATTAAGTGAATGCACTGTTTTATGTCATAACTCAAACTCAACTCACTTTATTTACCTTTATACAAACATAGAATAACAAATAAACATATGATAATAATTAATAGAAATTAACAGGTGTTATGAAATAAACTGTCTCACAACATCCTCCCTTTTAAGTTTGAAAGTTCTTCAACCAGCTTGGTTTTTGTATGTTTCTCTTTGGACGGTTGTATGGTTCTGTTTGATGTGTATTCGCTGACAAATTTTGTTCACTGTTTTCCTCTCTTAAATAAGGGGCAAGTTTGAGGTGGAATCGATTTCTTCTCACATTCCTCTTATCAGTTTCAACAATATATGAACGAGGGCTGTCCAGGATTTTCACAATCTTGCCATGTCTTCTAAGGTCCACAATCCAAACTGGGTCTCCTATATGAAGAGGATTGAGAGTTTGCACTTTGTGCCTTCTATCATAGTTGTGTTTGTACTTCTCACGATATCTTTCTTCTCTCCCTTTAAGATCCTTTAGATCTGGTTTTCCACAAAGCAAATGTCCTGTCTGAGGCAATGTGCTCCGTAATCGCCTGTTCATAAGAAGCTGAGAGGGACTGAACCCATTCCAGAGGGGTGTCGTTCGATAGGCTAGAAGCTCTAAATAAGGGTCTTCCACATTTTTCTTTAGAATCAATTTGGCGATTTTCACTGCCGCTTCAGCCTCTCCATTGCTTTGGGAAAATTTTGGGCTACTTGTTACATGCTTGAAGCCATAAACTTTGGAAAATGTCTTGAAATCTGAATTTTCAAGGACTTGAAATTGAGACCCACAGTCAGACCTAATTTCTTCTGGAATGCCGTGTCGACAGAAAAAGGCTTTGCATCTCATTATTACTTCTCGTGATGTTAATGACTCTAATTCAGCTATCTCAAAATATCTGGAGTAATAATCTGTCACAGTCAAAAACCAAACGCCTTCAAGTTTGAACAAATCCATCGCAAGTGTTTTCCATGGCCTGTCAGGGAATTGTGTGGGAAGCAATGGTTCATGACTGTTCCTTGAATGTTTAATACAAGTAGGGCATGATTTCACCATACTTTCAATGGCTGAAGAAATTCCTGGCCACCAGACTGACTCTTTTGCACGTAAACGACACTTGGTGATTCCAAAGTGACCTTCATGTACTCTTTGAAGTGCCCAAGACTGCAGAGCTGGCGGAATTACAAGTCTTGAACCTCGTAGTATCATCTCATTATCAACACTTAGCTCATCCTTAACTGAATTGTACGGTTTTAGGTCATCTCGCAATGATGTCTTAGAAGGCCAACCTTGGATGATTATTTTTTTCAGTTCACGTAAAGTCGGATCTTTATTTTGTTCCTCCAATACTTTAGCAACTATGCAGTCGTTTATATCGATGGATGACAAAACCATTTGAACAAACGCTTGAGTTTCTTCTTCTAACTCACAGTTATCAGTACCTGAAAATGGGAGAGGTGCTCTTGAAAGAGCATCAGGAACTAGAAGCTGCTTTCCAGGAATATAAGTAATTGAAAAATCATATCTCATGAGACGCAATCGAATTCTTTGAATTCTTGGAGACAATTCATCAAGATGTTTGGACTTCAAAATTTGAAGCAGTGGTTTGTGATCTGTTTGTATTGTTATTCTCTTGCCAATAATAAATTCTTGAAACTTTTCACATGCCCAAGCAACAGCTGTAGCCTCCCTCTCGATGTTTGCATAGTTTTTTTCAGAAGGAAGAAGGCTTCGGGATGCAAATGATACTGGTCGTATAGAACCATCATCTTGAACTTGAGAAAGAGTTGATCCTAGTCCTTGAAGCGAGGCATCACATGAGATAATTGTTTCCCGATTTACATCGTAAGTAGCTAGGCAAGGAGAGTTGGTCAAAATGAGTTTTATTTCATCAAATGCCTTCGCCTGCTCTGGACCCCATATCCATGGAACGTTAGCTTGAAGTAGTGAATTCATTGGGGCCAAAATCTTAGCTTTGTCAGGAATAAACTTACCAAGAAAGTTTACCATCCCATTGAACCTTTGAAGTTCTTTTACGTTTTTTGGGCAGTCCATTTTGAGAATGGCGGAAACCTTTTCCTTATCAACAGAAATTCCATCGGATGAGAGGAAATGCCCGAGGAATTTAATACTTGACTTCCCAAACTCAGTTTTGTCTTTGTTAAGTGTCATTCCTACATTTTTAAGCTTTTCAAGTACTTGCCGAACAACTGTATCATGTTCTTCTTTCGTTTTGCCCCAAATCAGAATATCGTCCATATGGACTGCGACATTTGACTGGTTGTCTAAGATTTTGTTCATGCATTTCTGAAAATGTTCAGGTGCTGATGTGATTCCAAATGGAAGTTTGAGAAATTTAAAACGTCCAAAAGGGGTAAGGAAAGTAGTTAGATCCTGGGAATTTACATTTAAGGGGACTTGCCAAAAACCACTGTTTGCATCAAGTTTTGAAAACCATTTTGCTCCTGAAATTGAGCTGAGAGACGTTTCAATTTTGGGAATCGGATGATAAGACCGCTGGATGGATTCATTCAACTTTGTTAAGTCAACACATATGCGGACATCTCCATTAGATTTAGGCACTACTACCATTGCTGAGCACCATTCAGTAGCATGCTCAACTGGTGTGATTACATTATTTTGGACCATACTTTCTAGTTCTTTTTTCACTTGACACATTAGGGGTAAAGGTACTCTCCTAGGAGTGGTTATTACGTATGGCTTTGCGCCATCCTTAAGTGCTATTGTGTAGGGATCAGGAATGACGCCCAGACCACTAAACATTTCATGGTATTCGGTAAAAAAGTCACTGTCTACCTCTGCAACTGAATTAACAAAAGTTAAAATTTTCAAGTCCTGTATTGCTGGACGACCAAGCAAGGGTGTTATGAGTCCCTTCACTACGTATACCATGTGATTTATTTTAACATCTCTGTATTGGATATTAGCTCTAACACAACCTACAGTTTCTAATTTTGTTCTACCAACCCCAAACAACTCAACTAGAGTCGGCTGGATCCTACTTGGATCAACTATGCCAGGGGGAATTACTGTTACATCTGCCCCTGAATCAATTTTAAATGTTTGTGGCTTTCCCTCAAATAGTAATTCTAGTTTCCAGGGCTTACATTTTGACCCATCCCCAAGTGTACCTATGAATACTTTATTATTTGAAGGTCCAAGTTCACTTACTTCATTTTCATCAGTTACTTCCTGTGCTTCTTTAGATCTGCAGACCTTCGAAAAGTGACCAATCTTTTTGCATAAGTTACATGTTGCGCTTTTTGCTGGACACGTGCTTCTTGGATGAGACGGTTTATAACCACACCAGATACATTGCGCTGGGTATTCTTGTTTCTTTTGACGAAACCTATATCCTTGATTTTGGTTTGAACTCGATGACGTAGTTGCTTCAATTTGAACTCTTTTCTCAGCACATAAATCTGCCTTCTCTTTCTTTACGTTATCTGCATGTCTTATTACTGTAATGGCCTTGTCTAAATTCATCTCGGGATCTAGCAACAAGCGATCACTAAGTTTCTCATCATTTAAACCCAGTATTAGTACCATCAACACCATTTCGTCATTAAGTGAACCCCAGTCACAGGTTCTAGCCAAGGAATGGAGACTAACTATAAACTCTTCAACTGTTTCATTAATTTTTTGTTGTCTCTTCAAAAACTTTGCTCTTTCAAAAATTAAGTTCCTCCGTGGAATAAAATGTTTGTCAAATAAATCTAAGACTTC